CCATGGAGAGCCAACAGTATCTTGTTGAACTTGCTCTCAGAAACTTGTAGAATGGGAGCGTCTCAGCCAAGAGGCTTTAGAAGAAGTGAGGAAAGAAGGCCTTGGCTTGGCTTTCCCGTGGGCAGCCAATGAGTACTGAGCACTTGCTGGGTATCAGGCACCATGCTAGGCCCTGGGGATGCACTAGTGAATGAGGTGGATGTGGCCCCCCACCATGGGACAGATTGGGACCACATAGCCAAAGGCCACTACAGTACACAGAGCCCGACAGGTGCAGTGAAGGAGTGGGTGGGACCCCAGGCCCAGAGGTGAGGGAGAGGGCTCTGAAGGAAGGGGCCTTTTGGCAAAGCCCTAAAGGAGAGAGGAGCTGTTCAGGCAGTAGCAGGCAATGGAGGGCCAGGCAGAAGGAAGGCCAGAAAAAAGGGACTCAGGGGCACTGGATGATGTTGGGTGTGGTTGGCAAGAAAGTGCAGCGGGGGTGGGGGGTGGGCAAGAACTGGTAGGAGAAGAGCTGGGGAGGTAGCTGGGCCGGGTGGTGCCCTGGGCCTTCTGCACCAGCCTTTATCCTGACAGCAGCCGAGGAGCATTGAATGGGGCCCCTAGGCTGGGAAGAGTGGCAGGACCAGAATTATTTGGGGAGAGCTCCCTCCTGCTGTTTCGTGAAGAAAGGATGTCCGTGGGGTGGAGGGGGGGCAAGGAGGTGGACATTCCTGGAGCCTGTGTCGGCTGTAGCATTGACAGGTGGTGGTGATGGATTGACTACGAAGAGTGAGAAGGGGGAAGGGTATAGCTCAGTGGTAAAGCGTGCACTTAGCATACGCAAAGTCCTGGGATCAATTCCCAGTACCTCCATTAAAATAAATAAACCTAATTACCTTCCCCTAATCCCCAAAAATAAGCAAAAATAAATAAGAAAGAGTGAAGGACACTGAGGCACCAAGGATGCTGGCCTGGCTAATGATGGGGTGTTTGTGCCATTTACTGACAAGGGGGACCCAGGAGGCAGTGGTACGGGTGAGAGGACATGGAACTGTGGTGCTGGACGTGGAGGGTGACGTGCCTGAAGACCACCAGGGAGATGCCGAGGGGGCAGTTGGATGTACAGCAGAGAGGTCAGAGCTGGAGAGAGAGACAGGGAAGCCAACATCCAGGTGGAAAGTCAGGCATGTGCAGGGGGAGCTCCCCTGGAGGAAGGTGTGAGGGAAGAATGCAGGTGGCCCCTGGGGAGCACCTGCCAGGGAGGGGTTGGGCAAAGAAGGAGCTTGCCGCCCAGGAGACCCTGTAGGCAGGGAATGGGGTCACCAAGCCAACAGGTACCTCTGGAGGCCAGGCGGCAGGGCCCACATGATAAAGCCTCTGTCACTTGGATTTAGCAACCTGTCACCTTGGCAGGAACAGTCAGCAGGGGAGCTGGTGAGGAGGCGTGACTGCAAACATGACAGCCCTTTCCAGACTTGGGCTGAGAAGAGAAGCAGCTGGAGTGGTAGCCGGAGCCGGCTGAGGTCCAGGGAGGCTTCGAGGCTGGTTGGTTGGTGCCGAGATAACTGAGCTTGCGTCGATGGTATCAGAAATGTATCAGAAGGGGAGGCTGGAAGCTACCAGGGAAGGGCTAGGACCTTCCAGGGTGGGGTCTTGCATTGGCGGGAGGGGCTGATCCCAAGCTGGGCAGGAAGAGGGAAGAGGGCCCAGCCCATGCTGGACAGCTGCCCCATACCTGTCCCTGGACCTGGCCCTTTGGGAACCACCAAGCTGTGTAAACCCCAGTACTGGCCTCCAGGGAGCAGAGAAGTCACAGGCTCCAGGCCAGCCAACCAGGACTGCCCTCTTCAAGTCCCGGGACCCCCAGGGGCTACCCTCCTCCAGATCTCCGTGAGCTGGGTGCTGCTGGCGCCCGTCCTCTCTCCTGTCTCCCTACCAGGAGACCTCTGCTCGGGGATGGGTTTTGGTGCCATCTTTCTACCCACCCTCACATTTGGGTGCCTCCTGGTCCCTCTCCCCATCCTCTTCCTGTTTTCACCTCTCTTGAGGGGCCGCCTCCCTCCTCACAAATCGGCATGTCCCGGCCTGAGTCCCGCGAATGCCCAGCTGTGTACTGGATGCTTCTTCACGTCTCCCTCACAAGTATCTCACACTCAGCAGTTAAAGACTAGAGTCCTGTACCATTTCTCTATAAGCCCGTGGATGGTGCCATTGAGCTGGCCAAGTTGAACACTTGCCATCTTTGTTACTCCTTCGAGGTGGCCCCTACATCGTCCAGACGGCCGCCAAAGCTGTGGAGTCTACACCCAGAAGGCCTCGAATCCCTGTGCTAGAACGCGTGCCTGTACCAGACTCTGAGTCCCTCCTCTTCCAGACCACTTCCTGTGGTGCCAGGGAAGTGTCCTCTCTTGAGGCTTTCTTTAAGACAACTTTGACTAGCCTAAGCATCTTAGCATGGCATTCAAGGCTGATGGTGACCCAGCCTTCCTGCTCACCAAACGCTCCAGGTCTCTTAACACTCATGCCTCTGCTCCTGGAGTCCCTACCTGGAGTCCTCCCTTCCTGCCTCTGTACCTCAGCATCCTCTCCGGCCCCTCCCAGCCCAGGAGTTGTGCACCTTTCACGGAGCATGACGAAGTGGTGCCCGGGGTTGCGTATGTGCCTCCCCACCCAACACCCGAGCCAGGGCACTGCCCTTGAAGGCTCAAGCAGAGTCCTTCTTCTGTGTGTGTGTGCATCTCCATTTGGATAACCACGTGTGGTTTAAGCTCGCTACAGAGGGAGAATGAAGGGGCTGAGCGCAGCCCAGGTAGATGAACTCCATGCCTACGTCTGAGCTGGCTTGAGCACAGAGGGAAGCCCAGATGTGGCAGAAGTCAGGGCAGCGTGGGCTTGTGTTCCGGGAGGCCCTCACAGTGCCCGCCGCAGCAGGGGGTGAAGGCAGGGGGCCAGGAAGGTACCGTCACGGTTGGAAGTGGCTCCGCCGAGCAGGGCCGAGTGGAGGTCGGTGTCCAGTGCCAAAGGGAGACCGAGCCCTTCTCGTTTCTTTCTCTCCAGCTAGGAGAGGGGTGCCCAGCTCAGCCTGGGTCCTGGGGAACAGAGGGAACCAGGAAGTCGAATCCAGGGTGTGGTAGCTGGTTGGGGTCCCGGAGGCCTGCTGCGAGCGTGAGGGTGAACCTCCCGCACTACCGGGAGACAGACGCCCTGTGTTTGCCCACAGGGCGCTCTTCCCGAGAGCCAAGTGGGTCACTGCTCCCCACCGCCCCCCTGGGCCTTCTGTTCTCCCCTTAAAAGTGACATCTTGCTTTGCCCTAGACCCAGGGAAAGTTTGGCCCCCGGCCTGAGGACTGGGAGCCTGAAACTGGCCTCCCATAAAAGGAGGAAAGGGCAATTTTAGACAACTTGAGCGATGTCGGTTGGCCCAAGCCGAGGCAACAAAACCAGGATCCACTTGTACTCTCAGCCAGTGGTCCCTGTGTGAGAGCGTGTGAGTGCGTGTGTGTGTGAGTACCTGTGTGAGAGAGTGAGGAATATAGGGGTGTGTCAGTGTGGGTGTTGGTGGTGTGTGAGTACCTGGGAGTGTATGCATTTGAGTATGAGAGTGGGGAGGTGGTGAATGTGTGTGAGTGCAGGTGAGTGTGTGTGAGCGTGGACGGGTATGTGTTTGTGTTGGTGATCACTCCTGCTGGCTCCCTCCCTTCGTGTCCCCTCTTGCAAGCCCATCCTTGTGACATCCTCTCAGCTGGAAGCTGACGGCCCCAGAGGACCAGGATTGAGCCCCAGCTACTGTCACTTCCTCACCTCCCCCAGGCCCCTCCCTGCCTCTCTGCACAGCCCCCCTCCTCCAAGTTTGGGTGACGTACCTCCTGGGCAGGGGGTGATGTGCAGGGTGACTGTGGGGCCCGGGCAGGCCTCTTGCTGGGTGTTGGAGGCACACTGGCAGACCAAGAGGCCACACCTCTCCCCAGGCCCACAGGCCCACAGGCCCCCAGGCCATCGGACCCCCAGGCCTCATGAGTCAGAAAGCTTTCCTCCTGGAATAATGCCAGGATCCCCTCCCTCAGCCCCATCGCAGCCGTCTCTCCGTCAAAACATCTAGAGCACTAGACCAACATGGCGTTTTGATGAGGATGGAGTGAGCCTTGTGGGACTGGTGGGTTTCCGTCTAAGTGGACGTAAGAGCACCCTGATCCAGGGCTGAGAGCAGCAGTGGCCCTGAGGCCCAGCAGGTGTGCCGGCTGCCCCCAGAGGCCCTGACAGCTGTTAGCACTTCCCACTGTGACCTTAGGTGATCCCTGGAGGCCCAGTGAGAGGCCAGGTGGCTGGAATCTGGGTCCCCCAGAGCTTCCAGCTCTGCTGGAGATGGGGTTTGGGAGCAAGCGCCGGACTCCCAGTTTCCAGGCTCAGGGCAGGGAAATGTTGGTGGCCCCCGCCTCCCATGCGTGTCTGGGCAGCCTCCTAGCAGACTGGTTTAGTGCCTGCTGCCCCTCATGGGAGGTGGGCAGGCAGGTTCAGATCAACTTCTGTCCCTTTCTGGCTGCGGAAGCCTCAGGCTTTTAAGGGCTCTTTCTCATGACTGTGATTTAATTTGGGCCAAGGGCCCAGCCCAGGGTGAGCACTTGGTCTGTGGTGGCTGCCAGAACTGTGGTTGTTACCTGTTCTACTCTCTTGGTTATGCGGTGACCCAGAGTGGCTGTTCTTTGGGAGCATAAGCTGGTGCCGAGGCTGGATCTGGAAGAGAGGCCCTCTGCGCATCTGTGGCTTCCCTCTCAGCAGGGAGCACCAGGGTCTGCTGCCTTCGAGGAAGAGGAGGGGGTGGCCCCACCTGTCTGAGGGCAGGGCAGGTGCAGGGTCCATGGTGCATCCCCTCGCCCCACCCGTGGTTCTCTCTGCTCCGCGTCCTCCTCTCCCAACGCCCCTAAGGGCTGGATGCGGCCAGGAAGCGCGTGCATCTTCTGAGGTGGGAACCTGCCTCTTCTCCTCCTTTTTTGTTCCTTTACCATGACGCCTGTTGCTCATAGGTACAAATCAAACGAAGAGTATGTATATGTGCGAGGCCGCGGCCGAGGGAAATATGTTTGTGAGGAGTGTGGAATTCGCTGCAAGAAGCCCAGCATGCTGAAGAAACACATCCGCACCCATACTGACGTCCGGCCCTATGTGTGCAAGCACTGTCACTTTGCTTTTAAAACCAAAGGTAAGAGACGGTCAGCGGGGCACTGGCCCTGCCTGCTGCAGGGAGCTCCCCTCAGGGAGCCCCAGCACAGAGCCCGGGGCCCGGACCTCTCTGCCTGGGGCCTGGGCACCGCCGGATTCCTGGGCTCCCTAGTGGCAGAGCAACCCGCTCCAGACTGGGCGGTGGCGCCCCGTGGCTGCCCCGCCCATCGTCTTGGATCCCAAGGGGTCCCCCCACCCAACCTGCGCGATTCCCGCCGCCGCCAGGCGGTGGCACTCTAGCGCACAGCGCCTGGTTTTGTATTCGATCCCATCCCCCTTAGTTTTGCATGTCCCCTTAGCCCTTTATCCATCGATTTGATAAGCTCCAGCATCCACCCTGGTCACTGCCACTCTTGAGTTTGGAAATCCATTCCACCACGAGCCACTTAACACACTCGCATGGTCACTTCTCATGCCAGAGTTTGCCCCTGCCTCCACCCCGCCTCACTACTCAGACCATGTTCCCACTCTGTCCAGCTTCTTTGCAGCTCTCAGCACAGGGCTGGGCCCTCCCCACACCCAGACGGGCAGCCCTGTCACTCCCGCCCCCGCCACACTGCACAGCAGGGTCAACTCAGGCTCCGGCAGTCACCTGTGACAGGCAGGAGGGCTGGCCGATGAGGGTACACATCCAGAAAGCTGCAGTGGTGGTGGCCTAGGCTGCTGTAGCCACCCAGGACCCGGGTGTGGACCAGTGGGGCTGAGTCCATGAGACTCGGACAGAGCTTTTCTCCGCTGCTTCCATTAGCTGCACCTGCAGGACAGGCAGGAAAGCATCGCAGCCTCTTACTTCCTGGCAGTTGAGCAGAGCGAGCGCTTCAGAGGGAGGCCCGGGGCTCTTGGCACCCTTGGTGGCTTCAGCCTCTTGTGCTTTGCAGATTCCCGGCTCAGGATTTGTGCACGAGGGTCCTGCTTTCTCCTTTTGGCAGGTTGGGGGCCTCCACACCAGCCTCCACCAGAGCCGTGTGGTTTTTCAGTGGATGGAACTGGAGAGCAGATTCGACTTTGCTGCCTGTTGACCTTCCTTCTGTTAGTAAAGCTGCCTCCGGAGAGAGGCTTGGGCAGCAGCCTTGAGGAGGCCCCTTGGAGTCTTCCAGCTTTCCTCACTTCCTCCTCCTCTTGCTAGCCCCTTCTGTTCTCTCTGTGCTAGGTCGAGGGATGGTTTATCCCCTTCCCTGACTCACGGCCCCCTCTGACTGAGTACCCGGCTGTGATCTGCTGACCCTGTTAGCCTGCCCTACTCTGTCCTCCCACCATCATTCTCAAGTGGAACTTGAACTTGCCTGCCAAGGTGTGGGTGTGTAGAGGCACCCATCCTCCTTCCTCACCCTCACCCTCTTCTCTCTAGATGTCTCGTAAACAATGTTCCAGAGGGTGTCCGGAGAGGACAGATAGGCCTGGAGCATGCCTCGGCCCTGGGCGTGGGCTCTGTCCCCCATGCACCCCCTGCTGTCCCACTTTCTCCGGCCTTAGGTGGCCAGGAGAGAGATGGGAATAATTGACCAGCAATGTAACTAACAGACTTTGACTCTGAATGCTGAAAAACCTTTTGTCCAAGTCACCCTTGAAGGTGAAGAAAATGGGTCCCCAAAATCAGAAATGACTGTTAAAGCTGGAGCTGTAACTAGAAGCCAAGACCTCAGCCTCCTGGCCAGCACCCTCACCGTCTTCCTCCCAGTGAGGAGCTCCTCCCTTGTCCGGAAGGAGGAGCAAAATCAGGTAGCCTCCAGAATGGATCCCAACTGCTGCCCCTATTCCCAGGGTGTGTCCTGGGGACCACGCTGTTCTGTTCTCTACATGAGGAGCCCAGTCCTGAGAGTGCTCCCAGCCCAGGGCCAGGCAGAGCGGCCCGCCGCCTCAGGGAGCCACCATCCTGCCACGTGAGATGGCAAAAACCCATCCGGCTGAGTTCCTAGCCAGAACAGTCTCCCCAAGGGGCCCCAATTCAATTCCCTCTGACTTTATTGAGAGAACAGGCCTGGTCTTTTTCTGCCAGGTCTAAGAGGGTCCTAGGTCCCTGGCAGGAAATTTTCCTGGAAATTCCTGCAGTGGAAGCCACAACGCCGATATCTGCAGTACCTTCCTGGGTCCCTCTGAGCCAGGACAGTGCGCTGGAGGGTCCAGAGCACATAACCTGAGTGGAGGATCTGCAAGCCCTTCCCATGCCCTGAGGATGGAACCTTGGGGGTGGAGCCTTAGGGTGGAGCCCTGATGGCCCCGCCCAGGAATTTGCACTCACCCTAGGATGGGGAGAGTGCTAAGCTCTCTGCAAATGCTCCTGGAGTTTTCTGGAAAGACACTTTCCAGACCCAGAGCAGCGAGCGCATCTGAAACAGTGGAGTCTCAAACTCTGGGACTCAGAGAGGGGCCAATGAGGGGAGGAGGCAGATGGAAGGGGCGCAAGCTCACTCCTGGCTCTCTCTGCACAGGATGAGGAGTGAGGGACGCAGCAGGACTGGCACTCACCTCTCAGGGCTCCTGCCCACATCCGGCTGCCCCCATCTTCTCCCTCCCTTCAGTCTCAGATTTGGGCCCAGCCAGGCTGCGTGAGAGCTGAGGCTGGGCCCTGTGATCCTCAGGGCCCTCGGTCACCACCACCTGGCTGTGCCTGGCCAGGGAGCCCTTACTGTCCGTCTCTGTCTGCCTGTCTGTGTCTCCGTCTCTGTGTTAGACGTTGTGGCGGCAGCTCTGGCCCCCGGCTGCCAGCCGGAGGTGGGCATCTCAGTGGGTGGGGCCGGGCAGGGCCCACTGGAATGTTCCTGGGGGCCAGGAGTCTAGTGTCCTCTTCTCAGAAGGTTCCCAGAGGCCAGCAGAGTGGCTGTGCCGGGCATAGTCCCTTGCGCCGTTCTCCTCCGGACAGAGGTGGCAGTTTGGGGCCGGCCTCGGGGACCAAGGGAGGGCAGGTGGCCAAATTCAAGGTCAAAGGGGGCAGAGAGGGTCATTGGCTGATGACCTCTGCAGAGAACCCACCTCTGTTCCAGATGCCCATCATTTTCCATCCACTTGCCTTTCCTCATTCATTCTGGGACTGTCGTGCTTTTAGTCAGGGGCTGGGACGATGGTGAGAAGCTGTGGACTCTACTTGATCAGCCAGTGCTCTGATCCTTGACAGGAAAAGGGTCTCCAGGCCGAAAAAGACACCTGTGGCCATTTGGTACACCTCTCTCAATTCACAGAAGAGGGGATGGGCCCAAGGAAGGGGGATCAGGGAAGGCACTGGATGACACTCAGGGCTGCTCATCCGGTGTCTGCCCTTGCAACCACACGGCCTGTGCAGGTAGTCACTCTGACTCCCGACTCCTCCCTGCAGCCTCCAGGGGCAGGGGCAGAGGAGAAGCCGGCTCCAGAGCCTCCTGGTGCCTTCTCCTGGGGGTCCTGAGCCCAGACTGACTGGTAAAGCCATTTGCATCACAAGCATCATCTCAGCATCTCTCCCCGCCACACGCAGCACGGCTGTGGCAGAGCCCTCCTGGGTGCTCACCAGAGTGGCTGTTTGTGGGGGGAGGGGCACACAGTGGGCACCTGCTCCCTGCCAGGCATGCTCTGCTGCCACGCTTCACGTGTTTCCTCATCAGCTCCTCCCCGCATCCCCGAGAGGTAGGTATTACTTTATAGTTGCAGAAACTCGGGCTCAGAAGGTTTAGAAACTTGCCCAAGAGCACACAGCTAGCCAGTGGCAGAGCCCAACTCACACCCAAGGCTGTGCTCTTCTACACACCCTGGTTCTATCCTGCCAGTGTGGAGCAGGCCAGACCCCTGGAGTCCCCCAGGCCTGGTTCCAAATGGGGCTCTGCGCTAACTGGCAGGGTGGCTTCAGCTGGTTGGTTCACCGTGTTGGTGAGTGGGACCATCCTGTCCCCTGAGACAGCAGATAATCTCGTCCAATGGCATCCTCAGCATCAGGGCCCAGAGTCAGAACAGAAGCAGGAAGCTCCTGGGCCTGGCGTGGGTGGATCACATGGTCTGGGAGGTTCCTTCCAACACTTTGCTTCTGTAACGAGAAGAGCCTTTCCCACACGTGGATCTCATGCACCCGTTGTGTGCTCAGCATTTAACTTGGTTGACTAGAGACCTAAATCGTCCAGGCAGAACATGTACAGCAATAATATCAGAGCCAGAATGAGCAGTGTTCATAGTCCCCTGTGGTCTGGGGTAGTCAGGGGATGATGGGCTGGTCCCAGAACATCAGGGGACATTCGGCTCCTCTGGCCCATGGGAGACCCCAACTGCCTTTCCCACCTCTAGACATCCTGCTCAGGCTTGAGGCCTGCTCACAACAGTGAGAGCAGAGGCCCACGATGCTGGACAAGGACCTTTGGGGACCCTTTGACCCTGGGATGACCCTGGAAGTTATGGCTTTGCCCCCCATTTGGCCAGGATTAGAAGATCCAGGCTTCTGACCAGGTGAAGGGGGAAAACCTGAGTTGGGAAGGATGAGGTCACAGTGTGGGACTAAGGGGAGGAAGGGGGAAAGAGCCAGCTTCTCTCCACCCCTGCTGCCCTTGACCTACTCACCTCAGGGAGTCTCAGCTGAAGGTTCCCATCACTCTCTCAGCAAAACACTAAGGTTCTCGAGAATTCTCAGAATGATTAAGAAGCACCCTTTCATCCATCCTTGGGCTGTCTCTCCCTATTCAGCCATCTACCACCCATCTCTCCTCCCATTTATCTAGTTCTCCCATCCTCTCATCTAATAGTTTGTTTTCCTATCCATTTATCTTCCCATTTATTTTCTCATCTTGTCTGTTCCTCCTCTTCTCCCATTTGTCCTCCCACTAATCCATCCTTCCATCTACCTGCCCATCCTTTTACCCTCCTGTCTGTCCTTCCATGGATGTATGTGTGCTCCACCCACCCATCCATCCACCCACCAATCTCTCTATGCATCTGTTCCTGGAGTCCGTTCTTCTCTCGTCCATCCCTCTGTTCAAACTTGCCAACTAATAAGATTAACGTGACCAAGCATTTGACTCAAGGACCTTATGATTTATCAGATGAACGACCACATGGAAATACAGCAATCCGCAGAGCAACAGTGAGCACATCACAGTTTGGAGGTGGCTGCTCGGCCCAAAGGAACATCTTAAGGCATCAGCCTGCATCCTTCTGGGACAGGCTGGGGATCCCTGGCTGCCCCTGCACAGAGCACTCCTGCCCGCAGGGCTCTGTGGCCTGTGAGGTGTTGTGCACATGTGGGGGAGAACTGAAGGTGTTGCTGTCTTTCCCCTGGTTCCACAGAGCAGCTGCCTCTGCTCATCAGCCTGTGGGGTGGGACTGACCACTGGGGGCAGAGTCAGTCTCCCCCGCTGAGGGCTTCGTAGGCATGGGAAGGGCAGAGCCTTTGCTTGGCCTTCCCTGCACACACCCTCCAACCCTGTGTCTGCATGGCAGTGACCTTGGAAGACCAGGAAGGGGACGTGACTCTCTAGGGCAGTCAGGGCTTGGGCCTCAGCCTTGTGGCCCCCAGGTCCCCAGCTAGCAGATTTTCTACACCTTCTGCCCTCTCTCCATTTCTAACAGTAACTTTGTCCTGGTTCCTCTTCCCAAACCCCAAGATTCCTCCCAGTGGGCTGCCCTGCCAGTGTCCTCAGCCGGAAGGACATTCTCGTGTCCACCCACCATGCTGGTGTACGGGAGCCCTGCTCTCGCCCCGGCGTTTGAGACAGCCAGTAATCCTGACTGAGGAGCATCACCAGCTCCTGGGCCCAGAGTTAAATCAACGGCAGGAAAAATCTATTGCATATGACGTCTCTTTTAATTTCTTTTTTGTTTGTTTGTTTTTTAACTAAAGCATCTCACGTCCTCATTATCCCCTCTGTCCCCTCACAGCCCCACGCCCTGCTGCCTCAGCTTCTGGGTACCGTCGTGCATGGCTGTGGTTGCACATCCCACCTGCACACCTGAGTGGAGGGCTGTCCTGGCACCTGCCACCTTGGCCCCCTGGCCTCCAGCCAAGCCTGAGTCTGTTGTCATTCCTTTCCAGGGAATCTGACTAAGCATATGAAGTCGAAGGCCCACAGCAAAAAGTGCCAAGAGACGGGGGTGCTGGAGGAGCTGGAAGCCGAAGAAGGTAAGAAACTGCCAACCCCCTCCTCTTCCTCCTCCCTCCTCCCCATCTCCCCCTCCCCCTGCTCCTCCTTGGTCTGTTCCTCCACTTGCCCTCGCCCTGCCTTCCTTTCTGTCCTCATCTCCTTGCCTCCCTCGTCCTCCTCTCCCTCCTCTCCCCTTTCCATGCCCTCTTCTCCAGTTTTCCCAGCTAAGGGGAGACAAAGGTTAAGTTCACAGGATGATCGCCCCCACCTTCCATTTACTTCTGCACATGCTGGGAGCTGGAGCAATTATGCATGGCTTGTCTGCAGTGCAGATGGAGCACCTGACACCCATGGGTGCTGGGTGAATAGGGATGGTGAATCAGTTAATACATGAATCATGATAGTCAACACTGATTGGGTGCCCACTCTGTGTCAGGTATGTTCTAGACACGAGCCATGCATTATCTGGACAAACCCTCACAATGACACTCTGAGCTCCACACACATGCTCCACACCCATACTCACATCTACACACTCTGGCACAGGCCTGACACCCGGGCCTTTTAGAGCTAGAGGCTTTCAAGAGACCCAAAGCCAGACAGACCTGACAGCCCCATGTCACCTCCCAATCCCAATCCACATCCCAGCACCACACCCTGGCCTCAGTCCCCCACCAGCAAGAGGCATATTAGAACCAGTTCCTGAGAAGCCAGGGCAGAGGGTAAGGTGAGTCCAAGGCAGTGTGTCTTCCCAGCATCCAGGGAAGAAGCTTGGCGGGTGGATGAGCGGGCAGTACCCCAGCAGAGGGAGGCAAGAGACATTCCTCCTGCGCCAGGCAAACCTTTGATCAGATTCCCTAAAATGGGAATCAAGAATCAGAGTGTGACAAAGAGAGATGTGTGTGAGTCTTGTTTTCCTGATTTGGGGATGCACATGCAGTCTGACAAAAGACCTGGATCACATTTCCTTTTAGGTGAAATAAATCACCTTTATTGAACAGAACACAAGGAACTTGGGGCTGTGCCACCCAAAATGAGTATGTGGGGTTACCATGATGATCAAGAAAGTGCATCAGGCCATTTACAGGTGTCTCTTTGAGTCCTCATAATTGTGGTAGAAACTTGTGTTGCCCCGTTTTGAGTTGAGGAAATTTAGTAACGCTCGAACAGGTTAAGGCAGTTGCCAGACGTCAGACAAAAACACTGGCTCCATGCCACTCCAGAGCCTGGTGGGCTGGACAGGGAGCTGCCCCCAAGCCCAGAGCCCTCCCAGGGTGGGAGTCAGGGGGTTTTGACTAGCACTGCACCAGGGATCCACTGAGGGGCCCTGAGTTTTCCCTGCCCCTCTCCCAGCTTCATTTTCCCAATGAGGCCAAAAAGGACGACCTTATTTGAGGATGAAATCAATGCATTCATTCCAGAAATACTGAGCACCAGTCCTGTTCCAAGCCCTGTTCTAGGTGCTAGAGATTTGGCAATGAATAAAACATAGTTCCTTTCCTCAGGAAGCCTGCATTCTAGAGGGGAGCCAGGCAATGAACAAATGTGGAATAGGACAAGGGCAACGAGTATGAAGGGGCTGGGAAGCGTGAGGAGTGGCCTCTCTGTTGCGGTGGTGTGAGCAGAGGATGGAAAGGGAGAGAGAGGTCATGAAGCCAGGTGGGGCCTGGGGGAGGGGATCTCCCAGCAGAGGGAACAGCAAGTGCAGAGGCCAGACAGAGTTAGAGGAGATGAAGTCAGGGGGCTGTGGCTGTGAAGGTCAAGGAATGGACTTGGCCGCCTGGTGGAGCAACGCCTTCTGACGCTCCTTGACTGTGTATGCAGAGTGTGGCCGCTAGGGGGCGCAGCTGGAGGCAGTGATCCAGACTGACCACGTGTCAGACTGGCTGGGCTCAAGGAGGTGAGGAGACATGATCGAATTCTGGATACAGTCTGCAAATAGAGCCAACCGGTTTTGCTGACACCTGGGGGACGGAGGGAGGCATGAAAAAAAAAAAGCCAAAGCTGACTCCGAGGTTTATGGCCTAAGAAACTGGAAGGATGGAGTTGCCGCTTCCCCCGACGAGGAAGATTCGGGGAGGCGCTTGTCTGTGAGACATGAAGTGGAGATTGAGAGCACAGCCTAGGAACGACTGCCTCCGGGTGGCCGGGCCAGCGCTGCAGCCCCGCCCCTGAGGGTGAGGAGGTTGAACATCAGCGCCACCGTGTGGCCAAACACCTTCGGTGCCCCAGAGCCCTTTATTCCGTCTTTAAAACCTGTGGGTCCCAGGCCCCAGAGAGGCGGAGCTTTGTGGAACCTTGACAGTAACCCCAGCATGAAGGGCATTGGGCCGTGGGCAGGGACATCCCATGAAGCCCTGAAGAAGCCCAGATGATGTGGGGGGCCCAGCAAACACTGTGTTGGGCAGGGGACCCTTGGCTTTCATTATTCCTGAGCTGGGTGTCTAGGGCAGGATACCGCCCTCTGCCCCTTAAAACTTCCTCATCTGTAAAAATGAGGATCCTTCCTGCTGAATATCAGGAGCAGACTCCCTCACTAGTAGCACTACCCCTCTGACCTTCAACTGCAAGATGAGATACTGGCAATGCTGCCTTGTGCTGAGGATGGGGGTTACTTGGGATGATAATAGCTAAGGTTTACAGGGTACTTACTAGATGTCAGACCCTCACAATCCTCCCAACAGCTTCATAAGGTGATTTTTATTATTCTTACCCCAATTTTACAGACAAGGAAACCAAACACAGAGAGAAAAAGTAAATTATTCAACCTTCTGCAGCAAGGAAAGGAGCTGGGATTCAAACCCAGACCATTCCCTGCTTCTCAATGCATAAAAACATTTTTTAACTGGCATTGTAATAATGCAAGGCTTGTAAACCTTAGTCCTGACTCAGCCTCTACTCCCTGGGTGGTCTTGGGGAAGCATTTGCCCTCTCTGAGCCTGGATTTCCCCACGTCAATGAGAGGGCAGGCTAGGTGAAATCCTGGGGCGGAACCAGGCCCTTCTAAAGTCTTAGGCAGGGAAGTAAATGCCTGGGGCAAAACTGCAAAGCATATTTGGCACCCCCATCTTCATTCGTACTGCCTTCACAATCCCCCTCTCTCATCAGTCTGCTCCCAGCTGCCAGGAGGCCGTGTCCTTGGCCCCGTGGCCCTCCATTCACTTGCCAGCCCCAGCTCCACCCCATAGTTTTTGACCTGCATCCTCCTGAATGCCGACTGTCATCCATTTCATCCATCTGACTGCTGTGTGTTGAGCTGTTTGGAAGCACAAATGTTGGGCTTTCTGGCCCAGGGGAAGCTCAGTGTGGTGGGGTCTGGAAGCCAGGTTGCAATAGTGGCCTGAGTCAGCTTGTGTGTCCAAGTCGAGTGGGTGCTGGCTTGAGCCTAGAGTTGGGCCAGCAGGACCCAAACTCTCTGGAGCCTGCCAGGTGGGCTAGATGTTAGCAGAGCTCTCCCTGGAGTCCTGATGGCTGCCTATTTCAGAGCTGGCCAAACTAGACCTGTGTTCCGTTCTAGGTGACCCAGCTGGCGGGGACTGCACCACCAGAAGCCAGACCAGGAGGCTGGTATTTTAGAGCTCCACTCCCCCCACCCCGCCACCAAGCTGGGAGCAGCAGGGGTTCTGAAAAGGCAACACCTTCTCTGGACCAGAGCAGCTGGGATGAGACCCTGCTCTGCAGCCTGGAGCCAGCTTAGCCAAACCCCCACAGAGGCCAGGGCTTGCCACCTGCCAGATGCCGTTGTACCAGCCGGCAGCAGCCTGGCCGCCGTAGCAGATGCGTGTGTAAACTGACCATGTCCAGTGCTGCTGGGCCAGCCAGCATAGCTGCTGCGTCCGAGAAGAATAGATTTCTTTAGGAAGGTATTAAGAGTGACCATAATTATTTGAGCCCTTGCTGTGTGCCAGGGGTGTGTTTATTCCCCTGAGCAAACCCTGTGAGGTGAGATTATATTCATTTGACAAAGGAGGAGACTGAGGCACAGCAGAGCGACTTGACTTGCTCATGGTAGAGCCCGCACTGAAATACTAAAAAAAAAAAAAAAAAAGGCTTGTCTTGTCTTGTTTGCTATGGTTTGAACCCAGCCCTCCTACTTACCGTACTTGGGCGAGTGACTTATTAATCTCTCTTGCCTTGGTTCCCCATCTGTTACACGAAGGTGAGAATAGGGCCAACCCCGAAGGCTGATTTGAGGACTCAGTGAACTAATACACATGCAGGTCCTAGAACAGGACCTGGTACATGGTAGATACAAGGTAATTCTTGTTCACTGTGATGATACACAGTGCTCCCATATCTGCCGTAGCCCTCATCCTCTCCACAGTCTTGTGCCATTGCTCTGGCTGTCAGGCCCAGTTTGCAGACAAGGACACTGGGGCTTAGAGCAGAGCAGTGTGGGGCTGGCTGTGACCTCAGGTCTCCTGTGTCTGCTCCTCAGGAACCAGTGATGACCCATTCCAGGACTCGGAAGGGCGAGAGGGCACAGAGGCCGTGGCAGAGCACCAGTTTTCAGACCTGGAGGACTCGGACTCGGACTCAGACCTGGACGAAGATGAGGATGAGGACGAGGAGGAGAGCCAGGACGAGCCATCAGGCCCGTCCTCGGAGGCACCCCCACCTGGCCAGCCAGCCTCGCTGCCGGCAGACTCCTCACCTGTTCGGGGCCCTCAGCCCCCAGATGCCACCTCTGACAACCAAGCTACGTGGGGCAGCTCGGTCCCAGAAGCCGAGCGCTTGGCAGCTGGCAGCAGCTCCATGTCCAGCCAAAGCATCCTGTGCCTCCCCCAGCTGGGACCATTGGGCTCCGTGGAGAAGGACACAGGCTCGGCCCTGAGCTCCAAGGCCGTATCCCCGAGAAGGCCATGGTCCCCGAGCAAAGAAGCAGGCAGCCGCCCACCACTCGCCCCAAAACTCTCACTAACCAAAAGTGACTCGTCTCCC